CAATCTGTGGAGAATCCATTGAACAGATTTCGGGCTCATCCCACCAACTTTGGCCACTTCTGCAGTCGTTAATCTGGGATCCATTTCGATGCTCCTCTTGACAGCCCTTTTTGTCCTCTGTGATGGACCAGGACGCTTGGTCAGTTGTTTCCTTGCCGTGTTTCCTGAACTGCACGATGATTCTGTTGACTGTCGAAAGCGGGATTCCCAAGTTCTGCGAAATTTGCCTCTGACTTATTCCACCATCTGCTTGACCAACTACCCTTCCTCTAACAAAATCTGACAATTCGAGTTCTAGGCATGTTGTAGCACAAGATAATTAGTGTGCAGACCATTTTCATTTATATAGTGCTCTGTGAACACAAATTAGTTAGCATAAATCAGTTAAATAACGAAAAATTAGGTGTCTATTTACTTGTGACCACTCAGTGTATTTGCTCATTGAATATGTTACTGTTTATATTTTAATATATAAAATTTGATAGTAGTCCTACATTAACTTAAAACTTACAAACTAGGCAGAGGTTATTCTTAATAAGTCTTGAACTTCATAAAATTCCTAACACCAAAATTGTATATGGTCCAATTCTACCAACAAGTTAAGTTTTTATTAATTTATCAATTGTATCATTGTACTTATATTACAAAAATAGCCTGTATGTTACTGGAACTAAAAGCTTTCAGCAATAAATTGCATGATGATGACATAGTTGAATTATACATACTGTAAGCCTACTGTATTAGCTCTGCAGTATTCCATAATCTAGTAAACAATGAAAGTATTTTCATGGTTTTAAATTGACTTTATCATTAATAAACAGCACTAAGTTTGAAAAACCTATTTCAAATCCATAATTAATTCAATAGCAGAAACTATTTTTCTTACAATTTGCAAATTTTGAAATGAATTTTTATTTTCTTAAGGCTGATTTATCATGTCAAAGTTAAATTTGTATTTGGTGTCCTCATATCAGGATTCTCTTTTGTTCTGCCATATTTTGCATTAATTTGTTCTACTTAAAAAAAAAAAAGAAAAGAAAAGCAATGATTGTATTACTAGTCATGTTACAAGTGACAAGAACAAGTAATCCTTTAATAGACCAATTTTAGAAAGATACTAAAGCTAACATGTTCTGAATTTAGCTACTACATACTTCATACAATTGGCAAAACTCATTATTAGGGAAGTAGTAGTAGGCAATGGTAGGTCATAATAGTGTAAGTGAAAATTTAGACTTATAATTATCATGAAAGAACTAACTACGTGTTCCCATGTTGACAAAAAAGGTTGAAAACTGGAACTGGTGCTGTTATGGTAGAGCAAGAAGCTTCATTTACAAAATATAAGTAAGATTATAACATGGTTCTCATGTGAAACATGGTACATAATGGTTGAAATAAAAAATGACAATACTTTTATAATTTGAAGTCAAATGAATACCCAAATGAGGTCTTTCTGATAAAGAAATACACAGTATATCACTTAAATGTCACAATGCATTATGGAAGATCCAAAACCAGAGGAAAAAAAAATTAAATAAAATTGACAGTTAATGAGAAGTAATCTTGATCGAGAATTAACAAAGGTTTCTTTATCTCATAATAATGAAATGCAGATAAGAAGGAAAATAGTGGTATAAAATTACAGTAACATAGTAAGTATTAATGGTATAATAGTCTAGAATAAAGATTAAGTTTTCAAGCAAGCAAAAAAATACAAAGTACATTTGTACCTAATAAAAAATGTATAATCCAATATATAAAAGACCATATAATTAATTGAACTGGTGTATTTAAGTGTTTTACACTCACTAAAAAGAAACCTATCATTCTATAGGTATTTGAAGAACTTGTAGCATCTTGACACAATTTAATTCTTTGTATTGTTAGCTGACACTGGGCAGCTTGTACATAATTGAATAAATAGAGTTGTTTAAATAACTCTATTTATTCAATCATATAATTAATTATTTTCTCTGCATTTTGTGTAATACTTAATGGAAGAACTATATAGCTTTTGCAAGTGAGGGGCAACTTCTATCAAGTATCAAAGAGCTGGACAAAACAAAAGCTTTTTGTTAGCACTGCTGTCAGTTATTATATTTTGACATTTTAAAATGTATTACAGCATAATTGTACGTTGTAAGTTACAAACTTACTTTGGTAATGACTAATTGCAAAAGGTTTGTTTGGAGCAATACTAAATTTGCTGCCAGGTCTTGAATATTGGTCTCCATTCAAGTAGTATCCTCCAGCAGCTTTCACAATTGGTCGACCTTGAGCAGTGAAGTGCTGGCCATTGCCTTGAAGTCGAGATGCACCTTGTCCATGTACAGCTCTAGAAGTCTGGACACCGTTAATTTCAGCAGAGCCACCTTCTGATCTGAGAAAATGATCTATTCCCATAACATGTGAAGGAAAAAATCCTATACCCAGTGAATTTGTAGTTGGCACATCATGACCTAGCTTCATACTTTGTGATACTGAAAGCAGAAATTTCTAACTTGAGAGAAGACAGTAGAGAACTGTTTTAGTTAATACTGTACTTAAACTAAACATAGAAATCTTGTATAATTACATATTAGGCATGACATATCAGTTAAATATCTTACTCAAAATATTAGTACATGTAAATAGATACCTATTAACCCTAGTATTACTAACAGAGTTCAGTACCCCAATACCATAAAAAGCACAAAAAAATCATCAGTACTGTATGTAATTAATCCCACTAGGGTTCTTTATGTATTTCACAAAGAGCAATAGATTTCACCAAAGTTTTGTGATCAGTTTTTTTTACATTGAGTGTTATAACAGACAAACATAAAATCAGTAGGATGCAATAATGTTGACCCCACTGTTAGTGAGTAATAGTAAAATAGGTTGGGGCTTACATAGATGCTTTAAATCTGCATATAAGAGAGTACAGATAGCCTAACTAAGTAACAGTGGTAGAAATCTGTTAGTTAAAATTTATAATTAAAGCAGAAACAGTCAGCAAATGTAAGATATCATTATGGGTTAATATAGTTTCTTAGATTACTAATTACCACAGAAACTTAACAAAGAGAGCTTTCTAATGATATAAATTACATCTGGATTATCTATCAATTACAAATAGAATGAAACAGGGTTCAAACACATAGCTTTTTGTCCATTTTTTTTATACCCTATTACAAATTTTTTCATGCCATCCCTCCATTATACCAGTATTGTGAATAACACAAAAGAAAGTACTAGAATGCATAGATCCATTTTCAAAAAAATTATAAAAAAAGACTTGAACACAATAATTGGGGTAGCTTTCATATTGAATCTTTTGTTTTTTAACTATTAATATTTCAACGTGTTATTAGTTCTTGCCTCAATTTTCCAATGACCACCTTTTGTATATCTGCCCTATTTTACATTGTAATTCTTCATACAGGATTTGACTTACTCAGTGATTAAGGAAATTTGATGTATATTTTCTGCATATTCATTTGTATCATTATCAAGAGTCTTAGCACCCTTCATCAGTTTCTCACTCATTAAATTTTCCACTTCCCCACTTTTTGTCCTGTTATCTTCTGTCTTTCTTTCCCCAAGTATGCATTGGTCTTTGCCTTCCCTAGGATACTGAAGCCACAATATTTTTAATGACAACAAATACATTTTTAAGTCACCATAACATTTTACAAGGTCATTTATGATACTCTGGCTTGCAAAGGATGCTTCATGGAGATTTTCAACCATGTTCTGACATGTTGCAATCAACCTTACAGTTGAACTCTTTTACACTTTTTCTAACAATTCATCATATTTTCTATACGAGTGATGAATCAAAATTTCTTTTGCTCCAAAAATACTTTAAGTACATAGCTTAAGTTTTTCATAGCTGTATGATTATTTTGCACTATAAAACAAGGGTATATCCTTTGTCAAAGGATAGGCAATTGAAGTTTTGTCTTGCAATCTGTATTGTTTTTTGCTAAAATGTCAAGGCCTTTATTGTAAAATCCATTGAATGTCTGCTCTTATTTAATTTTCTCTTTTCAGTGATTTCAAATGGCTGTGCTTTAAAAACTGAACATCCACTTTTCCATAATCCATCACATTTTTTGCTTTATTCACATTGAATTTCAAAAGTTAGTTAGTTGATGTAGTATTTTTCAGTGTATTTTGCTTTACAAATTGCTTCATGAGGACACCTACCTTTTCAAGATGACCAACCATATGAATGGCATAACATTATCACTCCAAAAGACAACAAGGTATTGATCTAACCACTTGAAAACAGATTCAAAATGATCATCTCAGGCAGCATAAAATGATCATTCACAATCTGTACAATTTCAAATAACTTTGATTTCAGTTATGCATATGTATATGTCTTGTTTGTTTGCATACTTGATAAATAAAGTGTCATACCTTCTGTGCTTGAACAGTTACTGGCACCTTTTTCAGATGTTTGTTTTGAAAAAATTTCAACAAAAACGTACCTAATTCAGTAATAAGTTTAAAATCATCTTTCCTTGTATAGGAATCTGCGAACATCAAACACAAATATCATCAACTTTCTTGTCTGAGGTCTTTCTTTACAGGCATTATGAACAAGCACACGAGCCAATTCAAGAAGCTTTTAGCATCTATGTCCAGCTCATGCATTTCCCCTGTTAACAAACTGTGAAGTTTTCAATTCACAATTCGGCCATCCATTTACAACTGTGCAATTTTACTAATATCAAGATTGTTTGAACATAATATATTTGTAATTTTTTGAAGTACATCATCAGCTATTGAATGGCCAAGAAATTCTCATGTAAAATATCATAACTTCATTCTTATTTGTCTCTCAAAAGGAAAAGTAAATATCCATTTGCTTTGACTGTGTTGATATATTTAAGGACTTGGCAAACATTAACACAACCATCTTTTTTATTCATCTTTATATGTAAAGAAGTGAAATAGGATGCCAGAACAAAACATGTCAAGAACACATTTAAAAAAAAAATCATATATTTAACTCTTTCAACCAGGGACTGACCTCACAACCCTTTTGTGCTTGTTATAGTTTTCATGCTATAAATTCTAAATTACCAAGCGAATATTAACGAAATTTAGCAGATTCTCAATAAACATTAACAATGATTTCATATGCAAAATATAATTTTTTTATTATCATTAAGTCTTAAGGTTTGTAAAGCAGTGTTTCTCCCATGCCTTTTTTTTCTTTTCACATCTTGCCTCTTCAACATGCAAAGTAATTTTCATTTTAAGATTAAAAATACTTTTATGGATCAGAAATTTTTTCAAATTTCACATGCAAAATCTTTATAATGATAGTTATCAAATGTTTCTTAAGAAAAAATTTATATTTTATCTATTTTCAGTAACGAATCTCTGTACAGGTTTGGTCGATTTGACCAATCTCGTAACCATGTTAAAAAAATTAGGAAATAAATACAAATTATGCCTTTTTCTTTCTAGAATGACTACAAATTATAACACAAAATCATAAATGTTTAGACTAAATAGATTAAATCTCATCACATTATACATTTATATATATATA